AAGAAAATAAAATCTTCAGTGCTTAAAGGGAAAGGGATTGCATTGCATCCTAAGAGTCACAGGCACGTAACAAAGAAGTAAAAGCTAGTTGGTAAAGATTTGGTTCAAAGATTAGAAGCTGGAAATCAGTATTTTCCTGGTTCTGATCCTTGCTTGCCCCTAATCTGCAGTGTGACACCGGTTAAGCCTTCAAGGCAGGGATGGTCTCTTCCCATGCATTTACATTACATCTAGCACATCGAGACTTCCAGGCTGTACTGTAATATAACATACGTCATTCTAATTTTCTTTAATGGTAGCCTATACACATACCTGCATTTTTCAAAGCACTGCAGAGGGACTTACCTGTGCAGCCCCCACCTATTTCACTGGAAGACAGTTTCTCCCAACATACCCTTTTGTAGTTTGGGTGTGTGTGCATAAAACAAAACGTTGGATAAACCTGTCAAAGCAATGTAACAGCATCAGCAGCCATTATTCAAACAGGCTGCACCACAGCCTCCCCAAAGGGATCACACAGGCACGTACTGCTAGCAATGTGAAGCAAAGAACTACCGTGTGTTGTGTTTGTGTCTTGTACTGGTTGCATACAGGGCTGTGAGAAGCAAGAAAGTACACACATGATGAAAGAAACTGAAAGAAGCCGACCGAGAGTTCATAGAGCTTATAGCCTACAGAATCAGACTGGGAGATCACTACTCCTTGTAAAAGTCATCTTTACCAAAAACACCAGTTCCATCAGTGGCTTCAGTACCAAACCTGAACAAAACCCAACAGATTTCTGTCACATCTAAAGTTGTTCAGCTGCATCTGCAACTTTGACGAGCTTCTCTTTTCAAAAGAGTCCAAGGCTACAAGCTGTTTTGACTGAAATCTGAATATTCTTGCTAATAGAGGGAGTTGTTCAAACCCTTCATTCCACGCATGCTGATTTGGTTATTCACAATAAGATTTGGTTATTCAGCTTAATGCTTTCAGGAAAAATGAGGAACAAAAGAAGAAAGCATCCATGAGAGAGTGGTCTGTAAGCTCAGGTAGTCCTTTTCACTACTTACACAGCTGTAAAGATGAGCAAGCTGCTACAGATTTTACTAACGGGCAAATTATGTTCTTATTTATTGAGACAGAAACATTAGGAAACAACAAATATAAGTGACCAGCAGCTAAACCTCACGAAATAGGATTAACAAGAACACAGGAAGAGAAGCCAGGAAAGCAGTGTTGCTGCTCAGGATCACAACAAAGAGTAACTTCACCAGACAGTGATGGCTCAATAGATTACCAGTTGCAGCCTGCCTTTACTCATCACACTTAGGCTGTATTCTTTTGAACTGTAACCTCAGGAAAAACAAGTAAATTGTCCTGAGAGTCATCTAAAAAGTAAAAGCAACTTCTATGTGGAAAAAGAAAAAAGTACCCAGAATCCAAATGCTTACTCTTTTTTTCCACCTAAATGCTTTCAAAATAAGTGAGTTCTGTGTCTCAAACACAGTTTTCTAAGACCTCCTCCTCTTTCCTACTGTATAAAATTTGGAAGCAGGAAATAAATGTTTATCTCTTTATTTTAGATTGCAACTATTCAGTTCTGGCATCATTTTATTAATTGAAAATATCAGGGCTGCAATTTCATTCTGGCAACTCAACTACCTCCCACAAACAACAACAAAACAGACACCTCACTGTGCAGCCCTATAATAGGGGGTGTTGGTTTTATTGCAGAAGTCATGGGAATTTACTTGCACATCTCAAAGTAAAGGAAGAATGAAAACGAACTTCATGTGACATGCCAGAATACAGATGATTTCTCACTTTTCTGACTTTCTGAAAAAATAAACCTGAGCTTGGACTTTCCAATACAGCAAAAAGTTAAGCTCAGAAACCTCTGTCTGTAAGTGGCTACTAAGGGTTCCATCCACTCTAGATGTTTGCAATTTATAAAACAAATCAAAAGAATACGTGCCATGCAGCGATGTTCTGGATGGCACTGCCATGGAAATCTGCACTTCAGATGCAGAAGCTGCTGACAGCTGTGCAATGATCCAGTACTATACAAATAGCCTCTGTATTACAGAACGGGCTGAGTGCAGAGACAAGCAGCTACCCTGCTCTTCCATTTGACTTTGTGATGACACCACCTCAGCACATCCCACTAGAGAGGCCTGCAAGCATGTGGGTGCCATCAGCTGAAGGAGGAGATGAATACACCTCGAAGGAGATGCTGGAAGAAGCCTGCATGCCACTGCCTTCCATCACCCCATCAGAGACAGAATATATTGCTAATCTTGCACTTCCATTTTATCACTGTCTGTATTTGTGGAACTAATGCAGAACCTTCTGCATCCGCCTTTCTAATTGAATAATTAAAGGGAGAGGAAGAGAGCAAGGAGGCAGAGCACTTCTAGACAGTCAGGTTTGGTGACTGAAGTCACCAGGGTGAAGAAACCCAACGTGCTTCATGACACTGCTGCTGCCTTGCTATATGACCTTAGGCAAGGCACTGGACTCCTTTGTACCAGAGCATTCCTATCTGTAAAAATGAGGTAACAATGGTACCCTTCCCTGTAGGATGCTCAGAGATTCCAGGATGGAAACAAAGGGCTACTTCTGCTCCATCACCTTTCAGGGTTCAGCTCAAATCTCCAGATAGGTGCTTAAATGCTCAGGGTGCTTATGTGTTTAAGCTCTTTAACTTTGGAATCTTTGGTGGTGTTTTCCTGAGTCTGCAGGCAGACTGAAATAAAATTCCTGAGGGTTAAACTTAAGATCTAACAACACAAATTTCCAGTGCCAACCTTTTAACCACGGATTATAAATACACATTTGATAGGCTCATCCTACTGAACTCCAGTGTTTGCCTCCTTAATCTCACCGCCTCCAACCAAATTGCCCACACCTTCATCCTATCTCCAGCAGTGCTGCCCCAGGGGCTTTGTCAGAGAGGCAGAGCCAGTTTTCTGCACACAGAGCTGTGGTCAGAGGAAGATGGAACAACCACCTTCCAATTTCATGGCACAAAGACAGGCTTGGGAGCTGGATAGATACAGGCAGTCAGACAAGCTGGAGCAGCTTGACCAGTTGGGAGCAAAAGATGGGTCTTTGCATTGCACCCTGCCCTTCCTTTATTGTCCTTTGCCAGAACAAAGTAGGTACAGACGTTCCCATAGGAAATCCACGTAAAATGAGAGAGATCAAAATGAAATGGGTAAGGCAAGGAATCTCCGCTAAAGAAGTCAAATAGTTTCTTACTGCCTAGTTAGCCCTTTCTCTCGTAACATCTATCACTGCAGCAGATAAGAAGGAACAGCAGCTTGATGAGAGCAGTAATGCTCTCCTTTTCCTATTCTCCTGCATTTTTTTCATCTTGAGCCTTTCAGAGGCAAAGCCAAGGCATACAGTCCCATCTTTTTGCCCCCTTCCTGCTCAACCCCATCCCATTTTGGGGCAGTGGGAGCTCTTGGATTTGTCCTTAAGTTGGTACGATCCCCTTTGCCAAGCAGGAGCCAAGGATGCTTTCAGGCACAAGCAACACGCAGGACAAAAAGGCTGCTCACCTCAGGAATAGACTTTCATCAGCAAACAACAAATGCGAACAGATCCAGCACCTCAGACACACTGAAGCCCCTGAAATCAGCAGCAGCAAACTTCATCATGGGGGAGGGATTTGTACCCTTACTGGTATCAGGAAGCAAAACTCAGCCTGGTGCTGACGCCCCTATCTCACATGCCCTTATTGCAACACACAATGGCCATGGAACTCCTTAACCTGGAATAATACAGGAAAGGGACATCAGCAGCCAGCATACGATCTGCATGACCCTCAGCTGCAGGCATGCCGGAACCCTCAGCCCACTTCCTCACTGGGCAGGAGCCTGCACTGCAGAACCATCACCATACCAAGCTGCCTTACACAGCTGGTGCACAGTGCAGGCTTTCCCCTGGAACCACATCTTCCAGGCAAACAGGAGTAAAGTTGGCGCAACAGCTCGAGCTCATACACAGGGGGAGGAAGGCAGCTGCTGGGCTGCCAGCACTGTTTCAAACTGCAGTGTTTCAGCTGTAAGGCAGATTGCTGTAACCCGTCCTATCCCGCTGACTGGGGAATGGTTTATTGGCTCTGAAATCCCCCAGCAGATAAAGATCACTCTCCACGTTCTAGAGAGTTTTCTCCCTTTGTCCATTACTCTGCTTTCTGTACACATAGAAAAACACAGCTCTGCCAGACCCTGCGATGCATCGCCACATGAAATCAGTGCCACAACCCCGTGTTTTATGAGCACTTTGTACATCTCCTCATTTTAATCCACACTCGGAGACAGATCCTGTTCCCATCAAAGCACACAGCAAGCTCCCATTAAAATCTGGCTCGGCTAGTATTTTAATAACACTTAGACATTCCCGTCCTTTGCATATTTCATCTGCAAAGCGCTTTGCAAACATGAATTTCCTAATTACAGGCAGATGATTTACTAAAACTGGAAATTCCTCACTAGTTCTGGCTTTCGCTTTGAAGCTACGGGACTCGCTCCTGTCCCTCGGCAGTTTGGAAGATCCCTCGACGCCGCTCGATCGCAGCAGAGGCAGGGCCGAGCGCAAGAAGAAAAGGCGACGGCGCCCTACCTTTCCCTCTCTGCGCCCGCGGAGCCGTACACGAGTGCCGGGGCGGCGCTGCCCGCCGGGGCGTGAGCCGCCGGCGGCTCCCACGTGGTGGCTGAGGAAAACCCGGCGGCTGCGGCGCCCCGGCACAGCGCGGACGGCAAGAGGGCTCCGCACCGCGCCGGGCTCTGCGCGGGGCCGCCCCACTGGGCGAAGCGGAGAGGATCGGAGCTCGGCGCGGGGCAGGAAGGGGTGGAGCGGCCGGCGGAGCGCACGGGCGGGGAGGCGGGCGGGAGGCATCCCGGCCATGCTGCGGCCGGGCGCGGCGCCTCCGCCCAGCGCTCGCGCGGAGCGACCGCACGACCGGCCTTGAACCGGCGGTCCCGGCCGGCCGGCCGCTGCCTTCGATGGAGCCCGAGGAGCGGAAGATCTCGGTGTGGATCTGCCAGGAAGAGAAGCTGATCTCGGGGCTTTCCCGGCGCACCACCTGCTCGGACGTGGTGCGCGTGTTGCTGGAGGACAGCCACCACCGGCGGCAGCGGCCGGCGCCGCCCGAGCCCGGCGGCGGGATGCTGTCGGGGCCGCCGCACTCCTACTGCATCGTGGAGAAGTGGCGCGGGTTCGAGCGCATCCTGCCCAACAAGACGAAGATCCTGCGGCTGTGGGTGGCGTGGGGCGACGAGCAGGAGAACGTGCGCTTCGTACTGGTGCGCAGCGAGGCCTCGCTGCCCAACGCGGGTCCGCGCAGCGCCGAGGCGCGGGTGGTGCTGAGCAGGGAGCGGCCCGGCCACGGCCTGGGGGCGGCCCGCGCCAGCCTGGCGCTCACGCAGGAGCGGCAGCGGCGGGTGGTGCGGAAAGCCTTCCGCAAGCTGGCCAAGATCAACAAGAAGCGGCAGCAGCCGCTGGCCCGGGAGGCCTCCTCGGCCGAGAGGATGGAGACGCTGGTGCACCTGGTGCTCTCGCAGGACCACACCATACGGCAGCAGATCCAGCGGCTGCGAGAGCTGGACCGCGAAATCGACCGTTACGAGGCCAAGATCCACCTGGACCGCATGAAGCGGCACGGCGTCAACTACGTGCAGGACACCTACCTGGTGGGCGCCGGCGGCGAGGAGCCGGGACGGGAGGCGCAGCCCGCCGCCGGCCGCCCCGAGGACGACTACGCCAGGAAGTGCGAGGAGGTGCTGCAGCTGCAGGAGCAGCGGGCACAGCAGGAAGAGCTGCTGGAGCACCTGGCCGCCGAGATCCAGGAGGAGCTCAACGAGCGCTGGATGAAGCGGCGGCGGGACGAGCTGGAGCTGGCGGCGGGGCCCGGCTTGGCCGAGGCGGACTGTCACACCACCGAGCTGAGCGGCGGCGGCGAGGGCGAGCTGCAGCTGGAGCACGAGCGGGTCAAGACGCAGCTGAGCACTAGCCTCTACATCGGCCTCAAGCTCAGCACGGACCTAGAGGCCGTCAAAAGCGACCTGGACTGCACGCAGCGGGCTTGGGAGGCCCGCGAGCGGGAGCTGCAGCGGCTGCTGGAGACGCTGGGCACTCTGGACGTGGCGGAGGCGGCGGCTGAGCCGCGCGGGGCGGCGGGGGGCGGCTGGCCGGATCCGGGGCTGCGCAAGGACCGCGCCGACAACGACGAGGACTCGGACACGGGGCTGAGCTCCATGCACAGCCAGGACTCGGACTCGGTGCCCGTCTGCGAGTCCCTCGTGTAGCGCCAGCGGCGCTGCGCTCGCTGCCCGGCCGCGGGACGGGTGAGGGGCCGACGGTGCGGAGGTTGGAGCTGCGGCACCGGGGCGCGGACGTGCCGGAAGCGGCACCCCGCAGGCAGCGAGCGGGCGCTTTGCTCTGTGCCGTTCCTGGCCTAGGAGGAGAAAGCCGCGGCGCCCCGGCGTTTCGCTCACGTCTAGGTTTGCTCGTTCCTTAAACCCTGCCGCGGCGCCCCGGCGTTTCGCTCACGTCTAGGTTTGCTCGTTCCTTAAACCCTGCCTGCTTCGCTCTTAAGGTTTTCGTGCCGGGCTTTCTGCTTCCGCGGCTCCCGGCGCCCCGCACCGTAGCGCAGGAGATAGCAGGCACGCTGGCCGCTAGCGAAGCCCTCTGCCACGCCGCGGGGCAGCCCTCAGCCCCTGCACGGTTTCACAGCGCTGCAAAGGCAGCGCACGGCGAAGAGCTCGGGCTGCCGGGTGCCAGCAACCCCGCTCCGCTGCGGACGGCCCTGGCACGAAAGCTGCTGATCGCTTAGAACTAGCGAGAAGAGGTGCCCACACTACCGAAGCTGACGCTGGGCTCCCCTATCGCCTAGGGTTTGGGAGCATATACTGCAGTTCCATTTGGCAGTGTAAAGGGGCAATCAATCACTTCTTCAGAAAGAGCAAGCTAAAGCAAAATACAACTGTATTAACCAGCTCTGCGTAGTGCTTCTCCTTACGTGTAGATAGAATGCTTTATTTTCAAGACGTATTAAGGAATGTTAGTATCACTGTTCACGTGACACTGATTGAAAATAATTAGCAGAGCCCTATGTACACAGCACAAAACCTCAGTTCTGTTCTAGGCTAGCTGCTGCCTGGCAGAGCTTGGCTGTACTTAAACAATGTACAGAATCAGCTTGAGCGACTGTTTTTAATAACATAGTTTGTATCAGGCCGAGAGATTACAATGATAAAAGCATGACTCAAGTCCTAGCTGCACTACAGCTTAATCTTTTCAGTTATTCCAATAGAAAAAAAAAATGTAGGATCAGCTGTAACATGCATTTCACTTAATTGCCAAATCTTCCTGTGCAGCTTAACTCTTACCAAAAATATACAGACTGCTCTTGCAGTATGAGATGTCAGGACTTCTCTGATTTGGAATAATTAGGGAGACAGTTTAAGCAGTGAGGGACCAGAGAATGTTTAATCAGACCTGACTGACAGTGTGAACTTAAAACTTCTGAGATGCTTATTTAAGGCTATTTATGAAAGTTTTCAATTACTGATAAGAAAGCATAAAAAAGGATAAATCAGCCTCAAAAAAACCTCACAGCTTCCTCACCCCAAGTCCTGCTCATGAGCAGTGCTCTCATGGGTAGGATTCTGCTGGACAGCAGAACACACCGCAGTTAGGCAGCACAGAAGTGCTCTGAAATGCTGCTGGAGATCTGGTGATGCTGTAAGATTCCCTATATGGTATAAGTCTGGATAAATGATATTCTACTGAATAGGTCTCAGTTATAACAAACTGTAGCTTATTTTGAACACTGATCATAGAATTTTCATGTTTTAGTCAATCTTGGAAATATATTTAAAAACCTATTTTTAGACTGAATAAAATTCTTAATAAGACTAAATGTGTGTTTCCCAATTTAATGTGATTAAAAAATATCAGGTCTAGGATTTTGTTTACTGTTGTCTCTTGGTGTCATTTATCCTTCTATGAAGTGAGAAAAAGGATGAACCAAGTCAACCATGAGGCTCCAGGATGCCTCATGACAGCATCATGTGCTCACCAGTGCCTGTAGGGCTCCTCAAGGTAGAAGCAGAGCGTGCATTCCTTGTGTCTGGTCACTGCTGGTGTAGTGTAGTAGCACTGGGAAGTGTTGGCATTTGTGCATTAGATACTTTACCTTGCTCTGCAATTAGAAACATGGGAGTAGAGCTGAAGAATAAGCCAGGGGATGGGGAATTGTGGTGCCACACCACAGTATTTTAACCAGTGCAGGTGTAATGTGTGGGTGATGCAAGCATCTGTTGACGGCTTCTGCATCAACTGATGTAAGCAATAAACTTGAAATTGCTTTACGCAAGTTTTCCCATTAGCCACACCAAGCAATAAAAAGAAGCATATTAGAAAAATAAGCTGCAACAGGCCATCTGTCATTGTGCTATTAATACACGTGCCAGGTATTTTGTAAAGTGCAAGGTGACGGGAGCCAGGAAGTCCAAAACTGCACAGACAAGTCTGCCTACGTATGCTCAACTACCAAAAGCCTTAAGCAGCACAGAATCATGCTGGTTCCAAGCTCACTGAGGGTCATGCTGGTAGGATACCTTGCAATGCCTGCTCTCTCAGTAGCCCAGAGAGGGGTGGTTCATGGTGCTGTCAATCTGCTGGTCCCTGTTCCATGAGGGCAAGGCTGACAACACTACTTAAATAGAATTACAGATGCAAGTGCACTGGCATTAGATTTTGTTCCTGCACACAGACTGAATTCAAACATCATCACAAATTCCTCTCTCTTGAACAACTATTAAAACATTAGCATAGAAAAGGAAGTCTCTGTTTGGATTGGATCAGGTAATTCTCCCTTCCCATCCTCTCTGGACTTGTATATCTTTACTTAGATAATAGAGACAAGCCACAGGATGATTGGCTTTGACAGGGAATTTGGCTGCAGGGTTTGGGTTTAGCCTGGCACACAGCCAGGGGTTAGGAAAGATTATTCTGTATCACAGGTAGAATGGCAGGATTTTTATCTCTTTTCCATTTATGAAAGAAAGGAAGTGAGAGCAGCAGAAACAAAAACAAAAACAATCTCCATCAGCACCAGGTCAGAAATCTGCTTTCCAGCACTGTTTAGAAAGAGGTGAAAGTTCAGAACAATACCTGGTTTGTAATTTTTGTTCCACTATCCAGACCTCCATCTTCTGGGGAGTCAAGATCAGTCTAATCTTTCTCTCATCTTAAGACCAGACAAGAAGATAAATACAACTATAAATGGAACAATAATGAAAAAAAAAAAAAACCAAACCCAAAATTAAGAGCATCATGAACTGTTTAGTATAGGTAAGAACTGCATTGCACTATTCAGTATCCTATCTGTTTCCTCAAGCAAGAGGCAGGAACAGAGGGCACCCAGCCTTTCTCAGACAATCCTACAGAAATCAAAGGGAGTTTTGTTTGAGAGACATAATCAGACCAGAATCAGGTATTAAGTTTCAGGCATCCTTTAAGCAAATATAATCAAGCACTGCTACCCAAGTTCTGTCTGTTTGCTGTCCTTAGCCACATTTTTCTGGCTCTACATGTCATTTTCTTTTGTGACTGTGCAAGAGTTTGTGGGACTGGATGGTGAACCAAATAAAAAAAATGATTGGCTTTAACTCAGGTGAAATCTCTGATGGGCCTAACTGTACAATCACACAAACACTCGTGCCAGTGACACAGTATGATGAAAAAGTAAGAAACTGAAGGCTCCTGGTAAAGTGGAACTCAGCCTTTCAACAAGCACCATCTTCTGTTAGCTTGCATGCTGGTTAAAGCTTAGTTCTGACTGCACATATAGCCCTGTACTCAGTCTGAAGACAAGATTTCCAGTGGAGGATGAGAACTGGAGTCAAAGCTTCACTGACATCAATCACATTCACCTATATTAAATCTGAAATGAGCTAAGTAACCCACCTTCTAGTCTTGACATTGTTTCAGAAATCCACCATCAAGCAGTGTTATCAGAACAAAGACTCCATGTCAAATTCAGTGTATTTCTAGTCCTTAGCACATGTGAGAGACCTGCCAGTCTGAATAACCACTTTGTGGGGATATCATTTGGTGCTTTAAATGGGTGTGGGTGTATGGGGATACATTTACAGTAATGAACACCACTGAAATGCAAAATGAATGACCTATTAATTACCAGCATTCATTCTGAAGTGTACACAGCCAGTCAAATTAGAGGTTGGCTGACCTACAGTGACAGATCCTTTTCCAAAAGAACCTGCAAACTTAGTTTCAAAACACGAAATAATGGGGGAAGAATTTAAGTAGCTGCAAGAGAAGAAAAACAAATAAGCAGTGGATAACAAAGCTTGATTATATGAAAAATATCTTCCAGGTTCCCTTCAAAAAATCAGAGAGACATACACACCTATCTCCCTTTCCCTCCTCATCTTCACCCTCAGTAAATTCTATGCTACTTTGCAATGAGCTGGGACCAGGGTTCAATACATGAAAAGAATGGCGCAAGCCATGAAATGAAATAACAGGTCTGATGAGCTGTGCTGCTTCCCGGGTTGAAATATAAGCCATTGTGGATTGTTGGGAGCAGTTGTCCTTTGAAGTCACTTGATATTATTGCTCCTGAGCTGGCATACAAAGTTTAAAGAAATGAGCACTGCCAAGTGCAGGGAGTCTACACAGATGTTACTACTTTTATACAAACTCACAATGCTAAATGAGCTTGGAAGCTTAACAAAAAGGGAAATTTTACTCAGATTGGGCTCCGTATACAAATCAGCCCAATATCTTCAAGCAAATTTGTCAAATAATATTCTCTTTAAAATGCTGCTTGCTTAATTGAATACATCTCTTGCGTAAAAGGCTCAGAGCAGAGGCTTTAGTACAAAGAGGATTCTCACACACCTTCACATGCTGAAAACACTACAGTTGGCTGGTAGTTGGCTGCCAACTCCTTAGTGTACAGTGCTAATTCAACCCAGGCATTTCAACATATCCTTAAAATTTAATTTCTCCAGGCTTTTTACACATTGCCTACACATCTGTTTGTTTACACTTAAAGTTTTGTTGTCTGGAAAGTTTTATTAAAATTCCCCCCTCTGTTCCAAAAGCAGTCCAGGAACCTATTGATGCTACTCAAAAAATAGATTCCCCTCCAATAGTATTTTTCCTTCTTCCTGCCAACTTAGTCCTCCTCTGCTCATCAGTATCTGCTCTGAACTTCATGAGCAGTCTCCTTGCAATTTGTGGGACCCCACAGATTAGTATTAGGATCCTACTT